AATCTGACGGTTCAGCAGAACTTTGATTGTGTGAGTTTGGCAACTGTATTAAAAAGAAATCTGGATTATTCCCATTCTCCTCTATTAACGGATAGAAATATGTTCTAGTTCTACAAAGGGTCATTTTATACAGCAGTAGACTGTTTTGGCAGACATGATAGGATTCCAGTAGGCATGCAGAGCACCATTTCCTTTCCCGTTTCCTATTATTTAGCTTCAAAGTACACAGCTCTGTATCAAACCAAGGAGCCAGTCTCCTATTATTACCTTTTTTTTTTCTTAATGGGTCTACATTGTCTATGCAGAAAGCTGGTGACTCCTCAACAAAAACATACATTTATAAAGGAGAATAGATCAAATGCTTTCCTTCAGCATTATTGTTCAGTGATACAGAGGTGATAAAAATCGGAATGGATTCTTTGAAACTCTTAATGTATTTTCTGACAATAATCAGCTGAAGTGAAAACTTATTTTGGGGAGGATAACTCTGTTAAAGTGGTTGTGAACTAAAAAGTGGACAGATAGGACAGGGTTGTGAGGAAATACGGTTATTTCTTCACAGTCAATGCCATATGTCGGCAAAAGGTCCAAAGTATGAAGATCAGAATGCATGGGACAGTGAACATTTTGAACAAAGCCAATCAAGTTTAACATAGCATTCAAGACAATAGCATTTCTAGGTTGTTGCTACTCCTCACCAAACATTGCTGGGCAGATAGAATTTCTTTTTGCAGCCAGGTTTCTTTAAGATGGTATAGACGAATTTGCTTATCACAGATGAAGTCATTATATAATAACCTTTTGAAAGAGAGAGATCTTATGTTAAATACACCACATTTAAATGTTTTAACAGTTCTCTCAATTGAAGTCATTTCAATCTTAATTAGACAATCCTGATTTTCTTTTTTGGATTATTTTGATTTTGGTTATGTCTGGATGGGGTAATGGGTGGGTATCCGTAGAGAAAGCTGCAAAGAGGTGTGATGACTACGACTCTGCTTCCTGGTCTCCACCCTGGGGCTGTCAGGGTAATGGAGGACAACAAAATCTGGACAGATTCTCACAGAAATCACTGAGTCAACCGCGTGCGGTCTGAACATGAGGACGATGAGCTTTATAGCTTCCTCAGCTAAGAGTTGGCTGAAGGGCTGGCTTCATAAAAAACATTGGAGTACTTTAACAGTTCAGCCATATCTTAATGAATGAATTATATATTTTAGCTTTACATGGCTACATTTGCACCCTCTTAAAGTTCATTTTGTGTCTGAGATAAAATATTTTATGAAGATAATCACACTTTTGGCTCCCCTTTTAGCCATTACTGCTTAGCCTGAATGAATAACTTGATAGTTAATATTTCAGAGGGATGCTATACTTCCCTCTGTAGCTGCCTTAGTAGACTTCTTCTGATTTAAAATAGCACTGAAAGGGAAATATTGAGAAATACAGCAATGTTTATAATTTATTATTTGGTCCTTTAACTTGTTCAATTTAACATTTTTGTCAAAACTAATCATTCCCTGTTTATGGGAGAAATAAACTCTAAAATTGTCCCACATCAAAAACTGCCTCACACTGATTATTAGTTAGCTGGTTAATCTATGGACAACACTGAGAAGGCTGATATCTTCACCACAGGTCAACCTTAACATGGACGATGGTCGTTCTCTGGGTCTGATGATACGAGGAGGGGCTGAGTACGGACTGGGAATCTACATCACAGGAGTGGACCCTGGATCTGCTGCACATGCTGGTGAACTAAAGGTACAGTTTACTCATTTTATACCCAATAGATAACATATTTTTAGAGATCAAATACAAAGGAAATGTAATTTTTTTGAAGGGTCGCAGAGATTTGCAGTAATCTCATGCAAAACAGTAACTTTTACTAAAGTCTTAGTATATCTCTGAGAAACATCCTACGTCAGTAGATTTGTCTAAGAGGATATCTGATCAGACATCAGTTCAGTTTAGAACTGTAAAAACCTGCAAGATAAGGTCCTTGCTTGAACCCCAGTCCACAGTATTTCTATACAGAGTGTTCACATTTTCCCTGTGCATGCATATGTTCTAGCTGGGTACTCTGGCTTCATCCCAGCTCAGAGAGTCATGCAGCTTTAACCCATTCAGCCAGGAAAGTTGTAAAACCAAATTCCATTCAACCTGATTGTTTGTGACAAATTACTTCATTTTGGGGAAGGTGGCCTGGCGATTAGAGCAGATTGATCTCTGTGGTATCACTAAGGGTTGGGTTAAATAAAGAACGCAAGTTTCACTTTTAAAGGGGAGCGTCGTTTTTTACATTTGGCCCTTGATTTTACGTTATTACATCATGTTCTACTCACCCATATGAGTCTTGTGTCAGTTAGAGCTGTTCTGACAATATTCGGTTAGGTTATATCCAAGTAACGTCTTCCAATGGGCAACGACTTCAAGGCACAAACTAAACTGTTCATAATTTATCATTTATGGTACGCCAGCATTCATAACATGTAGGCGAATCACTTTCCTCAGACATCCGCGGTTATATTTTATATATTTATATTTTTTTTAAAACAAAGCGGAGTGTGAATGACGTCATCCGTGCGCCGGCTACCATTCATTCATCCTGTCCGCTGAACTGCTGCTAGTTTTACTCACATGCCTGGAAGATGTCTAGTGCTGCTACCACAGATGATCTCGCTCTCCAAATGGAACTGAACGATTCAGATTAGCTAGAATGAGTAGAAGGGGTAGAGCGTAGCCGCCTGTCGCCCGGGCTGCCTCTAACGACTCCAGTTCGCATGCGCGGATGACGTCATACACTCACATATGAATCCTGGCATACCATAAAGAATAAATGATGAACAGTTTAGTTTGTGCCTTGAAGTCGTTGCCCATAGGAAGACGTTACTTGGATATAACCTAACGGAATATCTTCAGAATGGCTCCAAATGACACAAAACTTATATGGATGAGTAGAAAATGATGTTATAACGTAAAATCAAAGGACCAATGTAAAAAAAAAAAGGCATTCCCCTTTAAGTACATTTAGAATAAAGTTGGCTTTCCTTATTTAACCAAAACAGCAGAGGTTGAAAGAGGGAGAAGGTCCGATCAGGTGGCACAGGTCCAGCACAGAGGCACACATCAAAAAACGATGGTTTAGTTTTTCTAAACGCCAATTTGCTTTATTGTAGCCTCTAGGCAGACAGTGAACTATGCATTCATGGGGAATACACCCAAACCCCAAGGGTCCAACTCTGCTGGGATTAGAACCCAGGACTGTCTTGCTGTAAGGCAGCAGCTGGTGTTTTGGATGTAATAAAAGAAGATTTCTGTCTCTGCCTGATGTCACTGATAACATCTGCAAACTTTCTTACACTCATTAACATGAAGTTACTTACCCTGGTGGAGCTTTTAACATCTGGAACTTGTCTTACAGTCATACTAAAACAGATAACATGAATGCTAACCCGGGTTAAATGATATAGTGTGTGCTCTCAGGTCAACTTCTGCCTCAACAAGCAGGCCACTCTCACTGTGCTATTTTCTGTCCCGCCTAAGGCAAGAGAAACAGAAGCAGCCGTCCTACCTGTAAACAATATTTCTTTCATCATGATATCACACTGTGTCCTACATGGAGGGAAAAAAGAAACAGCATGTCAGCTAGTACTTGGGATATTTCAGACTAACTGGAGCACTTAGAAAACTGAACAACTACAGTTGATATTCTGTGAGGAAAACATGGTGACATTTCTGGGTTTTATTGGGGGAAAAAAGTTGAAGAGACGATTGTTTGACAATTGATAAGAGTCGCACTGTGACCTCAAATACTTTTTTATTTTGACATTTGCTATTGGTAAATATCACTAGACTCAGAATTTCTGGGAAATTAACTGATCCATCATCACAGCTCTATATGCATAGACCAAACTGAAATGTCTAGTTCTTATTTATACTCATGTAACATAGTGAAAGCTGGGGTTGGTCATTCATTACTTTAATAGAGTGAAACACTCAGCCATATCCATTAGGAAGGGATATAAATCTCCTCCAAATCCATTCAATTAGAGGTTCTTTTCTGACCTCACAAAAAGAAGCTGATGACAGACTGTAATTACAAAGATGAAAAACTGTAATCAGGGACTGCATTGTTTAAAGCACTTTCACAGTGAGTGAAGAACTTAGCATGTGAAAGTCCGGCTGTCTGGAGGTGGCCTTTTTCCAATAACATGGTGTAAATTAGGAGGTTGATGATCTCTTTATGTTTTTTTATTGAGCACAGATTTGTTATTTTGATGAAAAGCAACAAAACAGTAAATCGCTTCTTTGTAGTGCACAGATAATGTGCGTGTGGCCATTTGCTACCTTGTGGAGACAGTGTAAGCACTGGCGGCTGGTGGAGTTTTCTCCAGGAGGTTTAAAATAAACCAATCAAACGTATATGTAGTAAGGATGGGACGATTTATGAAAACCGTCCGAACCGTTCGGTTCGACTGTCTCGGTTCGGTTCGCGTGTGTTTCGTTCGGTTCATGCGCTGCTCCTTTTTCTCATAGGCGAAGCGTTTACACTCCAGAGCAGAAGGTGGCGGTACTGCGACCAAAGCCAACCACCAGTAGTAAACAAGAAGAAGAAGCGAAGCAGCGTAGCCGGGTGTAGCAGAAAAAATCAGTAGTTGTGGAGAATTGTGTGGGTATGGCGAGTGCTAAAGAACAGGAGTTGGAAGACGCGCCAGCAGCACTTTATAGGTCTGCTGTATGGGACCACTTTGCATTTAGAGTGACCTACGATGACGGCGGAAAGAAAGTTGTGGATAAAAGTGCAACAGTGTGCAAGCATTGTGCAACACGTTTTGTTTATGCTAACAGCAACATGACCAACATGTCATGCTAACCCCGAAATCCCACATACTCCATCAGCGCCCCGCCCCGCTGCGCTCCAGACCGGCTGCTCAAAGCAAAGCCTACAGCCTCCGCTGTGGCTCCTTTCCGCTCCCTTCTGAGTCCCTTGGAGATGGTAGAGAGCATGCGCGAGATGATTAAATTCAAAGCAGAAAAACATACGGAAATGATCCAGGGTTTCCGCGGATCATTTAAAATAATTACAATCCATTATTTTTGGGGGGATTTTTTCATTAATTTCATAAATGTTTATGGGATTTCGGTGTAACAATCAACATATACCGAATCGAACCGAACCGAAAACCGTGACCACGAAACCGTGAATCGAAACGAACCGTGGATTTTGTGAACCGTTACACCCCTAATATGTAGGTATCACACCAGTATATTTACATTAATTCCAACAACAACAAACAACATTGTAAAATATTCTGAAAAGTGCTTTAAATCTGTCCTACCTGTTTTAATCCATGATGGGTCAGATCCTGACATTTGAAAAAGGAGGCAGGGAAAGCAGAATAAAGCATTAGCCTCACTGCATGCAGTAAGCCAAGCCTTGTTGCTAAATAATTCTATAAACCTGTCAATCAGCCACACTTTATAACAGATGACTGTGACGTCAGCACTGCTGCAGGAGGTGGTGTGCAAATAAAGTTGCTTTCGGATGGTCCTATCTGTAGCATTAAAGAGGAGCTACTTTGCATGGTCAACTTTTAATCAGATTCTATGGGCAAAGATTTTTCCGCTCCAGGGCAAAAATATGTCACCCATCCGACAAAATATGAAACAGCTTTACTCATCATTAAAGATTAAAGATTTATCTTTAAAAAATTTTTATATATATTTTGAAATATTTATATTTTATAATTTAATTTTTATTTGTTTTTAATGTCTTAAGGTCATTGGGTGAGTGGGGCGGCCCTCTATTGGTCGGTTGCCACTGAGTGTCCAATTCCCCAGGAATATGCTACATTGTGGGGACATATAAATATGTGTAATGAGGAAAGGTTCTTCCTTCGACTGATGGTTAGGTCAATGAATAAGTTGCGAATTGAGTTAAGGTAACTTAGAGTTAGGTATGTATTGGTACAAAGAAATGGATATAGTAATCTAGTTACTTTTTATTGGAAAAGTAATCTAACTTATTACCTCTCAAATACTGGTAACACCGATCTGTTACTCGCAATCTAATGCAATGATTAACCAAAAGTCAATGAATAAGAGCAACATTTCTTAAGGGCCCTCTTTGCATTGGGAGGAGACTTTTATTGGAGGGATGACGCTTCTTGGCTGATGAGCTGTAATGTGGACAGGTGTTCAGCATGCTTCAAACAGACTGAGAGGTGAGATGACGGCTCAGAGCCACTGATTTAATGACAGCGTTCCTAAAGAAAAGCGATTTCTGAAAAGGCCAAATGTTCCTGTAACTTGCTCATTATGTGCAGAAACAAAGGCTTTATATTGCTCAGTTAAAAGCATCTCTAAATTGAAGGAGCTTCTTACATAACATAATCTCAACACTGACTGACAGCTGACTGCTCACATGCCACTCCCTTCTATCTGTATTATTAATTTTCTTTCTGGAATATGCTATAATAAAGAATCTTTTATTTTTTCATATTGTTTGAAAAACATTGTTTTTCTGTTGCATATGTATTTCATAGCCAGTTAAACGCTTCAACTTTACAAAACTCTTATTTGCTTTATTGTTCTTTTATTATTGAAATAAACCATAATCATAGATGGCTGTTAAAATGCTACATCATGAGGACTGAGTGTTTGGAATAAGGTGCAAATTGAAATTTTGCAATGGTTAAGTATGTACCTCTATGGGTTAGGTTTAGGATAAGGGTCGGGGTAAGGCTATAGCTATCGCTGCGACTGAATGGAAGTCAATGGAAAGTATATATATATATATATATATATATATATGTATATCTGCTCTTGGAATGGGGTTTAGGTTTAGGACTGCTCTGTGCATTGAGTTTAGGTTAGGTTTAAGGTTTGGTATGTGTTGGGAATGGATAGGGTTTGGGTATAGGTCATAGCAGACATGGGCAATGTGGAGTCAACAACAACATCTCCATGTCATGTATTTGTTCTACCCAGCCAATTAACCAGGTGAGTCCAATCTGCACAGGTTAATTCACGGTGAAGATTGGACTCACCTGCTT